ACGTCATCATTTACCCAGAATGCTTTGTGTGTAAATAAAATGGCCTCGTCTGTGTAATATATTTTTAAAAACTTTTAGTTTAAAAATTATAAAACTGAACATCCTACAGTATTTTTACAGTCTTTATTTTACAGTTAAAATAAATGTTTATCAAATAAAGTCTAATGTTACAACTAATCATGGATCCCTTTAGCAATCTAAAGATATTCAAGCTGATTATTGACTATAAAGCAAAGAAAACTGTCCCTAAAAATTATAATATTTGACTTTAAAATAAGAAAAGAATACAGCAAAAGTTGTTAAATTTGATTCTCTGTAACTCCTTTCACACCAAAATCAAAGATTARTGAAACATTCCAGCTTAATTTTCTTGGCWTGAAAGTTGGCCAGCTGTCAGGAGCAGAATGAACTAAATCAGGGCTATTCAACGCGAGTGACCAAAGTTCGGCCCGCCAATTGGTTTATTCATCTCTTAAGCCCAAACCCCCGGTTTTCTACTTTAATTACTTTAAGTTCTTTTAGTTAAACAGAGACGTTTGGTATCTACAGAAACATCAGAATCTTGGCCAGAAGTTGGTAAAACAATTTCTATAAACACTCAAGACACTTAAAACTACAAACAGTTGAAGATAAAATGATGAAAGTGAAAATAAAATTGATTTAAAAATTTGGCAAGTCAGAGATGTCAGAATATTATTTGTGTCTAATAATAGGAGGCATAATGTGTTCRTTTTGTTTTTGATAATGTTTAATTATCACTACTTTTATAGGGTTCTGTATGTTGTATTCATGACTAAATGCAGCAAAATAAACTAATTCAAAGGTAACAGATCTTTGTAATACTTGGTTTATTTACATAATAACTTTAATTGCTGGATGTTTGGCCCCTCAGCTGTTGACCTGCAGTAACTGTGGCCCCCGGAGCAGTTTAGTTGAATAGTCCTGAACTAAATAAAAAGAAGAGAAAAAGAAAAACTATTTCACATTTAAAGTATTCCCTTTGGGGCCAGATAAAATGTTAATGAGGACCTTGCGTTTGACACATGACCTGGAAAAACATTATTGCATAATGCCAACATTTTTTAACAGGTTTTTGTTGCAAACTTTTATTATTTAGAGAATATGTTTTTATTTCTGTTGTAACAGAACAGCTTCGAGTGTCTACACTAAAAAAAAATCTTAGTGTCTTGAAAAGGTGAGTTTTTGGAGATGGGAAGTTTCTGTTTGAAAACAAAAATAGTTCAGATATTTAAACTTTTGCAGGTAGATAGAGGTTTTTAGTTTAAATAAACCAGCTTGTAGCTCACACAAGATTTATTTATTATTTATCTTGCCTTGAACTTATTCAAAATATATCTTTTATGAAGTGGTTGTATATTTTTTTGTTTATGGTTCTCCTCACTGCTTGGACTCAGTTTTAACTCAGATCTTTATTTTTGCTCCTTTCATCCATAAAGCTGCTCTTTTAATTGCATATTCAAAGTGTTTTGTTGTTGTTGTTTGTTTTTCATACAGAGACTAATCTGAAGAAGCAGGGCCTGCTGCCTCTGYCTTTCGCCGACCCCGGTGACTACGACAAAATCCTCCCAGATGACAAGATTTCAATCATCGGCCTGAAGTCCTTTGCRCCCGGCAAGGTGAGCAAACATCTGCCCCCTTACACAAACCATTCATCTAAAGGTCAGCCTTGTTTTCTTTTCCTTGTTGACATCATTATTTTTTCGGCCCAACCAGCCGCTGACAGCAGTGATCAAACATTGCGACGGGAGCCAGGAGTCCATCTCTCTGAACCACACCTTCAACGAGACGCAGATCGAGTGGTTCAGGGCCGGCTCCGCCCTCAACAGGATGAAGGAGCTCCAGTAACGATGAAGATGAGGGTGGCTGTATTCAGAAGGCACAGCATGAAGAAGGGAGGGAGGCCAGACTCGGTTTAGGGTCACATGTAGTCGTTSTCAGTCAGAAAACCAGAGTCGCTGTACGGATGAAAGCGCACACTTTATCACAGGTTAGCACTAAAACTGTAGAGACGATTACTGTCAAACCCCTCCAAGTTCACCGACGGAAACGCACAAATATTTTTAAAACTGCACTTAAAAACACAAGAACCTAATTAAGATGGAACTTACAAATAAAATGTAATTAAAATGTAAAAATAAGACCTAATTACAATTAAAAGCTACAAATAACAAAGCTTACCTAAAKTAAGACATAAAATACAAAGACTTAGTTAAAACAGGACACAAAGATGTTAAAATTTGGCAACAAAATAAAAATTGTAGACCAGATTTGCTCTTTGTGGTAGCGTTAATTTGACATAAATATTCTTCTTCCACTCTGAATTCAGTGCATTTGATTAATTTTCTAACACTGCTGTTTCTCTAAAATGATGTATTAAACCAAAAACGGAAAAATAAGTTTATTAATAGAATGCTAGTTAGGTTAAAAAGAGAGAATTTTATATATTTGAAGAAAACTTTATGCTTTAATATCTTTAACCTTACCTTTTACCTACCATTTTCCTTAAGTGTGTTTTAATTTAGTTATTTCTAATCCCTGAAGTTTTAAAGACAAAGTGGGACTTTGTTTTTGTTTGACGTTACTGATCTGAACAAATGTCAGTTTTTGATTTTGGACCACTCTGTAAGCACGAGCTGCTTCACCTGCACTCATTTTTTTATTTTTATTTTCCACAAATTCGTACATAAAAGGACAAGGAATTGGAGCCAAAACCTCGTAGGATTGTTTTACTGTAGGAATGACTGCTTTCTTCCCATCAGTCACATACTCAGTGTATTTATTTACAAGCTTATCCAGSTTTGAGCCACATTCGTCACAAAACTTGTCCTTGAGCACATTTTTGTGTCGTGCTGCTCAGAAATATCACTCCATCAGGTAAAAAAAAAGTTCTGACAGGAAACCAGAACTTATCTAATCCCTGTGTTTCTTTCTCCAKCAGTTGTAAGAGGGAGAGGTACACGATTGTTTCCTGTTTGTTTGTTTGTTTGTTTCCTAGTGGGGTTCTGTGGAGCATTATATACAACTAACATCTTACATGCTGTAGATACATCCTCGGTTTGGAGGAGTAGAGTTTAATTCTGTTGGTRAGAGCAGAGCCAGGATCAAAGCTGATTTCTGTCAGTTTGAAACAAACTTTAGTTTTTTTTTTTAATTTCACAGCAGGTCATGCAGATGATATTTTTAAAATCTTACTGCTGTCAGTTTTGCATTGTGWTGTTTTTCTGTCTGAAAAACTACAAACTTCCTGCAGGAGTAAGGCTACATCTTTAGTGCTACAGCTAGCTGCTGACATTTGCTCTTGCAGATAACCATAGAATTAAAAAAAAAAGATGTAAAGATTTATGAAACAGCGTTTCCATGAACCATGATGAAATTTTAGAGATTGGAGTTGCTTCAATGAGGCACTTGTTCACTTTGACCGGCGCTACATTTGTACGAACCTGAGTTTGTTCAAAGTCTGAAGTGGAACAGGTAAGATATTCYTTATTTATAGTTGCACTCAAAGCTTATTCTGCTGTTTGATGTGGGGAAATCGTTGTTCTTCTTTAACCGTTTGTTCCCAGAATCTGTAAATTTACTTTATTGTTCCAGAAGTTCAAATCTAAATGAAGCGTTGTCTTCTTTCAAGTTACTGACTTTAGGATTTGTTTGTAAATGATGATCTACAGCTGCATTTTGTACAGAGGAGTGTACATAGATAAAACTTGATTATATACACATCTATAAAAATGAAAGTTGTTATTAATAGTAGATTTAAATAGAAGCATTTTCTGTAGGCTGCCTGTTGTCTGTGGAGCTTTTTGAAACATAGAGACGTGCATTGTGGGTAAAAATAAGAATGTCAGGAATTTGTTGTTTGTTGAAAGTTTGATGGCTTTGAATTGGGGAAAAAGTGATTATCCATTGTTTTATGGTTTTGTTCATTTGTGACGTGACACTTTTGAAATCATCACTGTTTGTTTTTCTCTAAATTCAACGCCAATTTTTAAATTTCCCCTCTGCACAATGTGAAATTCTTGGCTCAAACTGTGAACCGGCATTAAGTGTAGTCGTTTGGACTTTTATGTTACATTTTAAGTTCAAGCTGTAAAATAAAAAAATCAACGAATCTTCATTGTGTACTCAGGTGTGCAGTCACGCTCTCACTTGAGTGTTTGAAGTCATGTCTTCATTTGTTCAGCTGCAGGAAATGAAATGTTATTTCACAGTGATGATTGCTAATCTGCTGTTAAATCTTTTGTAAAAGTAGCCTGCTGTATTATAGCCTGCTAAATTAAATTATCCTGATATTTACAAAAATAAACATTTCAGAAAATCTCAAGTGGTGTGTGTTTTACTTTGAAAAATAAATTTCCAATTTCTCCTGATCTTTCAGATGAATCTAACTTTCAAATACAGATTTTTTTATTTTGTTTAGCTGATCTATTTATTCAACCTTTCATTATCTGTGTTTCTGAGCTTAACAAAAATATAGTTTAAGATTAAAATCATTTTCCCGGTTGATCTTACACAAAAAGGATAAAGAGTGTTATTTGGTCTACTGATGATATGCTTCAAACATATTTGATTCACTTCAAAATGTTATTTTTGTTTGTCATATTTAATTTTAATGCCTCACAGTTCAAACTGTACTACAGAGTGACGTCATCATTAGGCTGTGTTATAGTCAWAAGGAATATGTATAATTTCTGATATTCAGTGTGATTTTTTTGTACAATTGCTGAGCAAACACAGCAAGGCTGAAGTATAACCTTTTGTTTTATACTCCTCCCTTAAAAAATGAGCCTAGCATCAACAGGCAGTATAAAGACATAAAACAAATCAAAGTACCGTGAAGGTTAGCCTGTTTGAATAGACTGTAGGCTGCAGAGATACATGTTGTCCAGCATGTGGCAGTAAAGACACGTGTAAGGATGTAGACTCCTGTCATTAAAAGAAGAAGAAGAAGAAGAAGAAGAAGCTTGACTTTGTTTGTTATTTATTTATTTATTTATTTATTTATTTATTTATTTATT